AAAAATTCACGATTTCAATTACCACCCCTGCTATGCTACGGCCATTACACCCCGCAACAATGTCAATGCTACTGTTACCGTCACAATAACAAACCACGCTCGATTGATGATTTTCTAAAAAATGAAAATAAAAATAAATTAAGAAAACCTTTTTACCGAAAATCATTGAAACATTGAAAAACCATTGCTACCCATCTCCAAAAGAGAGAGAGAGAGAACACGGTACTCAACCCTTAGTTGAACATACCGGCAGGTTTTTTTTTCTTTTACGATGTTAACACAATTAGAAGAGAAGAACAATGGCAATCTTCAAGCTTCAAATGAATAAATAATGATTGGGTATGAAAGAAAAGAAGAAACAAAAGAGCGATGATAGAGATGCAATAAATGGCTAATGAAAGACAAAAAATAAGGTTCTCTCCCATAAACACACATTAATATTAGAGTGGTCCAAAGTACATAAAAGCCCTCAGGCTACTAATAGCTAAACAAAGCGTAAGCACATAAAGCATAACACAATTAAATTAGAAGAATCTTATGTATATGAGTGTCTGCGTATCTATGTTTGCATATAAATTCAAAGATAAAAGACACTTTTAATCTCTAAAGTATGTGTTGTTTGTCATTTTAGTCTCTTAAGTTTCAATTTTATCATTTTGATCCTTAGAGTTGTCAATTTGGTCCTATCTCTAACACTCGTTTAAATTGACAATGGGAAAAATATTTTATCTTTGGTGAAAAGACGATTTTGATCCCTAAATTATGCCATCTTTTTCATTTTAGTCCCTTAAGTTTCAATTTTGTCAATTTGAGTCAATGAGTCAATCAATTGACTCAAATTGACAATTTTGAGGACCAAAATAACAAAATTGAAACTTAAAGGACTAAAATGACAATGAATGCATACTTAGGGGACTAAAATTGTCTTTTATCCATATTTCCGTTATCAATTTAAAAGGGTGTTAGAGATGGGACCAAATTGACTCAAATTGACAACTTTGAAGACCAAAATGACAAAATTGAAACTTAAGGGACCAAAATGGCAAACAACATATACTTTAGGGACTAAAAGTGTCTTGTCTTTTATCCTAAATTGAACAATCCCCAACCTCACCAGAACTAAGCCACATAGGTTATCTCTAATTTTAAAGGTGTAAGTCATCTTTTCCAACTTCAAAACTTAATTCTCCCGCTATGTGTATATGCAAGCAGCCTTCTTCTTCACCCAATCTCTTATCTCCATCATCTCCTTTGTTGTTGTGTTCCTAAGTTGAGATTATTGAAGAATCTAAGCCTCTCATCATATTCTAGAGAATTCGAAGTTGTTCTTCAAGAATCTTTGAAGATTTTCGAATTTTCCAACTCCTTTCTGGAACCCTCTCCTACAGCAAGAAGCTAACAATTATGCAAATTATTCCACTAACCCATTAAAAATATGGTTCTAATTTGTGGAATAATGTTGCATCCCCTCCCTAGCAACTAGTATGGAAAATTGGATCGCATTATGTGTTTAGTGTAGAAAGCACTGTCAAGGCACCTACATAGTTTTAAACTTGACAAGGGAAAAATAATACATCGACCCAGCAATTCCAAGAAATCAACTCACATAAGTTGTAACACCCTAGATGTGACAATATAAAAAATTTATGAAGGCCAAATCGACTCATCAAGACAAGTTGAGTCAACAAACCAAGTCATGCAACAAAATTCAAAGGAATTCTTATGTACTTATAGCATCTTAGATCTTATGTATATTTAGTTAGCATTTTGTCCAATGCAAATCCCACGGTTGGATTTTCAAACTTTATTGAGGAGGGAGAGAAAAGGTACAATGATCTTTCATTTTTTAATTTTAATCAAGTGTTCATGGTTTACACTTAGTTGCACGAAGTGGGAGTAGGAGCGGGGGCGGAAGCGGGAGCGGGAGCGGGGGAACGTGGCCACTTAGAGGAGTCGTAAATTAGGAGCGCTTATGTATTATTTTTATTAATTATATTTTATTTATTATAATGAATAATAAATTATGTTAAAATAAATAATAAATAAAAATTAGATGTTTTATTTTATAATTTTTTAAAGATTTTTTTATTATATATGATTTAAATAGATTTCTTTTAAACAATTAGATGATTTATTATATGTTAAAAAGTTAAGAAATAATTGTTAAAAAAATAAATAATAAATAAAAATTATATTATATATGATAAAATAAATAATTTTTTATTTTACAAATAAAAAGAAAGAGAGAGAGAGAACATGATAGATCGAGAAAGGGAGAAACAAGCGACGCAACAGAGACGAAGAAAGAGAGAGAGGCAGAGACGAAGAGGAGATCGAGGGTGAGAGAAGCGAGAGAGAGAAAGAGACGAAGACCTAGGGCTTTGACGAGAGGGATGAAGACTAGGGCTGTGACGGGGAAGTCAAACGGCGAGATCGAAGTCAGCGACCAGGTACTCTCCTTTCCCTCTCAATAGTGCTCGCTTCTCGCATCAGATTCGCATTTCTCTCTCTTCAGATTCGCGATTCTGCTACGATTCTTCCTCAGAAGCGCAAAATCGCGCTTTTTCCTCGGAGTCGTCGCCATCTGAGACGATTCCTGCTACTAAGAGTTTACATATATACTTATTAACGTCAAGATGCCACCAAATTGAAAACAATTTTTCATAAATATATGATTCCCCAAAACTAATTTATAAATTTTCAAATTTCCAATAATAGACCACTTCAATGGAAGCAAACTCAATTTTCTTTAAATAATTACTTACCATTTTTTCCTTTGCAAATCCACAGTTGGATTTTCAAACTTCTTATTGAAAATAAAAAAAATAAAAATAAATAAAAAAAGAAGAAACAATGATCTTTAATTTTTATTTTCAATCAAATGTTCCTGGTTTGCATATACTTATTAGGTGTCAAGACACTAATTTATAATTTTGATTTTTTACACTTCAAAAAAAAATTCAATTAAATAACATGGATCTTTGTATACTTCTCTTGCTCTCTCTCTCTCTCTCTCTCATTTTTATTTTTTTCATAGAGGCCACTTTAGCAAACCAAATTTTGCTTTTATATTTCAGTTACTGTTTTGTCCTATACAAATCAACAGTTGGATTTGTGAACTTTTTATTGGAGCAAAAAACGAATGAACTACCAATTTATTTTTAATCAAATGTTCATGGTTTACATATACTATATTTTTTGATTGATTCATGATTCCCCAAAACTAATTTATAATTTTAATTTTTTATAATTCAAAATTTTTCAATTTTCAATAAATAACATGGATCTTTTTATAATTTCTCTTTTTTCTTGTAGAGACCACTTCATTGGAAGCAAACTCAATTTTCCTTCTATATTTAGTTACCATTTTGTTGTACACAAATCCCAAAGTTCGATTTGCAAATTTTCTATTGGGAAAAAAAAAATAAAAATAAACAAAGATCTTTCATTTTCTTTTTAATCAAACGTTCATGGTATACATATACTCGTTATGTGTCAAGAATACCACCAAATTGGAAACAATTTTTCGATTGTTTTATGATTCCCCAAAACTAATTTATAATTTTATTTTTTACACTTCAAATCTATAAAGACCACTTCATTGGAAGCAAATTTTTTATTAGAAAAGGGGTGAATTACACCATGACACCCTCAACTATTAGTAAATATCACTTTAACCCCCTTAATCTATGAACTTGTACATATTGACCCCTCAACTATGAAAAACATACAAATACACCCCTTGTCAAGATAGTCTAGAGGGAGTGATTTTTATAGTTGAATGAGTCAAAATGTACGAGTTCATAGATGAAGCAAGTAAAGTGATATTCACTAAAAGTAGAGGGGCTCTTGGTGTAATCAACCTTAGGGAGGAAAAAAAAAAAAAAAAAAAGAGGAGGAAAGAAAGAAACAATGATTTTTCATTTTTATTTGTAATCAAATGTTCATTTTTTTATCAGTTGTAATCAAATGTTCATGATTTACATATACTTATTACGTGTCAAGATTCAACCAAATTGGAAACAATTTTTCGATAGATTTATGATTCCCCAAAACTAATTTATAAGTTTAATTTTTTTGCACTTCAAAATGTTTCAATTTCCAACAAATAGCATGGTCTCTCTCTCTCTAGCAAAATAAAATCATGCAAGAATAACACAGAGAGAGGTATTAATTAGGATAGTAATAACAAGATTTAATGAGCCTGAGACCAATGATGAAAATGTTTTACTTAGCCCTTGCCATAGTTTGCTCTATATATGTGATTTTATACTTGTATCGTACATTTATTATCGGAAGTGTTATGCAATATAATGGGACACACATAATCTGCAAGTGCCATATTGACCTTTTAGACAATATTGCATATAGTAGGAGGTGAGTTTCATCTATTTTACAACTCCATTTATTACTTCCGAAATTTTTTGAGAGATTTATTAGAAAATTCATTTTCAAGTATTTGTATCTCCATTAATCCATAAGATATTTTTACATTCCAATAAGTCTTATTATTTGAACATTTGATCTACCAAATCCTAATTCTCATATTTAAGGTATTTTATGGACATTACTACCCTTATAAATATTTTTTGAATGGTTAACAATTTGGTAATGTGAACATTCATATTTTACAATGTGAATATTCATATTGACATTTTAACATTTACATTGATAGTGTTAACATTCATATTGACGGTGCAAACATTCACATCACGAAACATTCGTATTATAAATGTGAATATTATTAGGGGTATTTTAGTAACTATGTTACCTATAGGACTTATTGGAATATAAGAAAATAATATGGACTAAATAGAACATAAGCAGGTGAAAAGGGATTTATGAAAAAATGTCCCAATTTTTTTTCCAAGAAAATTTTTCATTGACTCCTATTTATGGCAAACTATTGTGGCAACTAAAAATTGAGACAAGGTCATTGCTCAGTGCAAGAGGAAGTGCTCAAGCTGGGAAATGTGAGAATATCAATTCAAGAACAAAGATGATCAGCTACCAACACCCCTGGACTCTTAAGTATGATATTCAAACATTAAAATTACGAACATCTTCAGTATTCCTTTCTAGCATGACTACAAAGAATTTGCAACACCCAATACACATTGTTGTGTTAACAAGTCAAGGATGCGTGGAACAAGGACCAACTTTAAGTTAATAGTGGATTTTGACTGTACAATTTTTTCTACACATGGTACTTGTCCACTGTGGATATCACCTACACAATCTCGTGTCACATGGTAATAGCAAGATTAGGCATTGCAAATTTGATAACCTTGATAAGAAGGATACAAAACAGAGCATCTTTTTAGGTTTTTTCTTATGGAAATGCAATCAACCAACCTGAGCATTTTCCATTTGCTTATCTGGCCACATCAGCAGCTTTCATAACTTTGAATACCTTGCACTTTTACCACTTTCAGCATAGGCCACATTCTGATGGAAACACGTTGATTACCTGCCATTGGGAAAGACAATTTAGATCATATAGAAATTGGCCGCCACAACAAAGAAAGAACCATCCAACACCCTGTTTCGGAAAATAAATCAATAAATAAACCAATAAAGGCAAGGCAATAAAGGATAGGAAAAAAGATCATGGGACTCGGATTTTTGGTGCACAAGCTGCTTAATCTGAAGGTCTTAGGCAGCCATGACGATCCCTTTCACACCACAACCACTCTCCCTCAATCACACTAGGCAGAAACTATGGTGTCAAAAGTATGCACACTTTTGCATGTCCAAAACAAAATGGCAATAAAGCAATGTAAAGACCTCAAGCTAGTGAAAAAAAATATTTTATCATAGAAATAAATAAACATAACTTAATGACACATACTATTATGTCAAATCAGCAAGGCAAAACTTGTCACAGGAGCACCTATAAATTTCTAATTGCTTCTCTCAATTCCAAAGAAATAAATGATCATTTATCTTGATCATTTTTTCTTGAAACAGATAGTTTACCTTTCAAGAGCACAACTGTTTACTGTGCATATTATCATTCTTGAACAGGAAAAACCAAGGTGGAAAAGGTGGAAAAAACATATTTAAATTACTTTAATAAATGCAATCTGTGCCAACTTTAATTAGTCCAGCTCAAAAGAAACTTAAAGACTCCAAAGAAAAATTGAGTTTACAAGACTAAACTATTCATTTGTCAGACATAACATAAAAAATTTGCAACATTACAATAGAAGTTAAACATGAATCCATCACTGACTTCTGCTATATTCTGAAAAAATTGCTAAAAGGTGCAGTATAGCTAATGTTTCTTCTCACGGGACACACCATTCTCAACTTTGACATCATAGCCAAGATAAGGAACTTCAGTCATTGGTCTTGGTATGGGGCGGCTGCCAAAATCTTCTGGAAAGAATTCAAAATCAGGGCCAAAGTTGAACTTGACAACACATTTTGGTTGATTGGGAAGTGTATACATTGAAGCTGCAGGGTAGTATCGACCACCACAGAGATCCTGAAAAGCAACCCCTTGGCATATCCCATTTTTGAAGAAAGATATTTCACTTCCTGATAAGAAAAAGCAACCGGCTACCCAGTGTTACATCTCTAGCTTGGAAAACTACTTAAAGCTTAGAAAGAAAGAATCAATAACATGAATCAACATCTCCTCATCAAACACTAGAAATTACCAAAATTTCTTTAATATGTAAACAACTCAACCTCTCCTCATCAAACACTCAAAAAATTTCCCATGGCATATAAACATTTACATTGTATTTGGATGATGGATTTGGATAGGGATCTGGAAAAGGAAAGAGAACGGAGAACGGAGAAAAAAAACTTATATTTCATTCACATTTGCCTCACCTCCTCCATATCCATTTCCAAATCACTACCCAAATTAAAGATCAAAACACAGCCTTACTTCCTTAAATTGAGAGTTATATACATAATTATATAACACTATGGCTGCATTGCCTCATCTAAATGCTTTAGATAGATGTGTGGTAAGAATAGAAAAGAAAAAAATAGAAATAAATATATTCATGAAAGGGTAGAAGTAGCACCTATTAAAGACAAGTTGCGAGAGAATATGTTAAAATGGTTTGGTCATGTACAATGAAAACCTATAGATGCAACGATAGGAAAGAGTAATTAAATCACCATAAATGAAGATGCTACGGGGAGGGGAAGGCCTAAACTACGTTGACATGGGATGCGGTAGTGAAAAAATATATAAATTTATTTAATTTAGTTGAACACATAGCCCTTGATAGAGCTAAATGGTGAAAATTAATTCATGTAGCTGACCCCACTTGATTGGGACACAAGCTTTGGTTTGGTTTGGTTGTTATGGCAACATTGCCTCAACTAAAAGGCTATGATAGCCATCATACCCAAAACATTATAGACTAGCAGCTAGCAGAAATTAGACTTTGAGTCTCTCTCTCCCTCACATTGTTATATAGCAGCAAGCTAGGTGATTTTCAAACTTTCTAGTAGAATACACTTCCCTCGCGTCTTGAAGTTGCATATTTGCAAGAAGTTAGCAGGATTACTGTACGCTATAGATATAGATGAGCCTTCGTGCTCTAAAAGAAAATCAAATAAATTTTTAATTAGCACAATTGATGAAAATATGGATGGTAGGTTTAAACATTGTCCTATCCAAAGTCTTTGCAAAGTGTAATCAAACCCAACATCCTAGAAAGTACGGATACGGACATATGACATGACATGAACACACTGACACAAGAAGTTCCAAAAAATGCAAAACATGACACATGAGGGACACGCAAAATATATTTATTATGTCATATATATAAATATTTCATTTGAAGTTAATGAAAATACAGTATAATACAAATTTCTAAAGTTCAAAATACGATGGCAACTAGTATAAATCTACATTGTTTTCCTCCTATCATTAGATCTTAAGTTACAATGAAATTGCGGCCCGTCAGTGAATCAGTATGAATTTATGCCTGGAAGATCAATTAGTCCTAGAGAAAATAAATTTACAAATCATAAAGACTCTTGCATTAAAAAAATAAAAATAAATAAATAAATAAAAATCCCTTAAAAGGGGATGCAACTAAAGCACAAACATAGGGCAAATAATAAATTATATTTCATACTATGTTTCCTAAAATGTGATTTGTTCTGGTATGAGGAATGGGAATGGGAATGGGAATGGGAATGTGTACGCCACATGTTCCAAAATGTAATACAATAGGAGTAGACTTCTGAATTTGACATCCAATATATTATAGTGAATTCTTCTTCAAATTAATAGTTCATCAACACAGTTCTATGAGCATTATGACCCATTGTTTTACATTTTATCAATCCAAAACTCCCACTCCCAGATTTGACTTTTTCCTCACTAAAGAGAACTTTAATGAAAAACATAGAAAAGTATGGTTGGAAGGAAGTACAGGTAGGGCTTATTTACATAAGGTAAAGGGACCGAATCAATGGTCATTTTTGGTGCAGTGAATAGTGCCCGAGAGCAGTATGTTTACTTTTTAAGGTAGTTTTTGGTACTACTACTAGGGTTGAAAATTAGAAAGGAAAATCTTAGGCTTATTGCTGTCAAAAAGCTTAGGCTTATAGAATTGGATGTAATGGTTGGAAAAGGGAAAAAAAAATGATAGTAGGCTTCCTTGGGTTGTTATAGTGTAGAGAATTTACAAAGAAAGGAGAAGAAGAGGATAGTTTTAGTAAACACTCCTAAAGCCTTAGGCATCACACTTGAGGTTTGAATTTTTTTTATTTTAATAAGCAATGGCATATACATTTTATCAATGGACAAAAGAATACAACTAAGAAGGACAAGAAAAAAAAAACATACACACACAAAATTACATATCATGTAACGCTAGCCTATCTCTGACAAATGGATCTAATACTGAAACCCAAAAAGAAGACAAATGACAAATTGTCCCATAATTTTTCTAATTCTTCAAATATATCCTCAAAAATCCTAGTATTTCTCTCAAACAAAATCACTTCATAAAATAGCACAAATAACACAATCTCAAAGCACTCGGGCTTCCTTCCTAAAACCAAAAGCCTCTATATTCAATCAAATCCAACCGAACACAAGCAATTGGTGCCGTCCAATTTATCTCCCAGATGAAATAGTCTATGCCATAGAAACAAAGCCACGTGACAAGCGAATGCAAAACAAATGATCTATGCTCTAGTCCACTCTCCTACAGATAATGGCTAAATTACACTTTACCCCCCTCAACTATTGTCTTAGTGTTATTAAAGGTGATAGGTGCAGCAAGGCGCCAAAGACTCCTGGGGCCTAGGTGCAAGGCAAGGTGCAAGCTTCACCGAAATGAGGCGCACACCTTGAACATAGAAAAAATATATAATTTAATATAAGCAAATAATTTTCAACATAAGCAACATAAAATATTAAACATTTAAAAATATAAATAACAACAAACACTACTATTTTAACATAGACAAATGAACAATATTTCAAAGTTTGACATAAAACATGAATAAGAATAGAGGGGCGAAGAAGAATAAGAGGGGGGAAACAAAAAATAGATGAGTCCAAAGAAGGATGAGAAAGAGGAGACCGGAGTATAAGCACAAGAAGATGGAAGAAGAAGAAGGTAGCAACATCACAGCCATGTGAAGAAGAAGATAATAACGTGGAGAACAGAAGTAGAGAAAACAACGTAGTGAAGAAGAGAAGAGAATGAGAGAGAAATGTAAGAAGAGAAGACGAAGAAGACAACAACGTGAAGAAAAATTTGTGGAGCTGCTGAACTGGATAACGAAGGCAGGCAGCAGCAAAGTGTTCTTCGGAGATTAAGAATTAGGGCTAATTTTTCTTCCATCATTGATTTGGGGTTGAATGCCCAATGTATTAGCATGTGTAATTAAGAGTAGGGGTCTTCTGTAGCTACACCATATTAAATCAATCGTTAGATTTCAAACAAAGCCATTCAAAGCAACAATAAAAAAAAGCCCTCAAGGCGAAGGCCTTGGGCCTTACCGCTCCTTGTCCCAGCCGGGCGCCTTAAGCGTGACTTATTGAAGTCACGCAAATAATGTCATGTCATGCCAATTTTCATATATAATTACTTAATCCCTACAGTTTGATTTATTTAATTAACCCCACCAGTTAATTTAAGACTGCCCATAGGACGTCCATTCAAACCTATTTAAATTAAATAATTAAACAAACCACAATAAGGGTATCAATTCCATTTTTATTTAATTAACTCATGGCAGTCAACTCGAATAAATAAACAATTACAGTGACTGCCAACAGAGCCTAAATATCATTTTATTTAATTAACTCATCCCAGCTAACTTAAATAAATGAACAATCACAGTGACTACCAACAAGGTCCAAATCTCATTTTATTTAATTAACTCAATCCAATTAACTTAAATAATGAATAAATCTTAAAACATAATAACCGCCAAAAGGGCGTGTACAATAACCCATCTCGGCACTAATACCGTGTCCGAGCCGTAAAATTAAAAATAGGTCATACCCTGATCACACCCCAGGCTCACTCCAAGCTGTGTGTCAAAAAGAAAATCCAGCCAGAACTACTGAGGTTACTATTTCTCTCAACTGTGCAGTGTCCAGGGGTCTATACTGTAACTATCTCCCACAACCTGGACCAATAATACCAGCTATAAGCCTATAACCCAGGTCACGCCCATAAAATCAATAATACCAGCACAAAGTCCGAAAATCAACTAAGTATAGTAAACACACACTTGGTTACTACATAGTTAAAACCAATTTTCATATAGTTTCCAACACTAAGCCAATTATATCAAAATCTTCTTTTGACTATAACTATGAAACATATCACAAGTGTTCATTTAACATTTTATCAATATTAACCCCATCCAGTTAATCCAAAGAGATAAAATTAATCATTTCTTTCAATTTAGTTCAAAGCATCCATTTGCCCCAAATGAACTAAAATCACCATTTTCCCTTTTTTCATCCAAAGTCGCCAAGCAATTCAAATATCTTATATATATGAAATTAAGGTATGAAAATAACACATTAAAATCCGTCAACTATTAAAACTAGTAATCAAATACCAAATCACTTTCACTTGAACAATTCTTTTAAATCAAACTTTGTTCCATACCAAACAAACTAACTATAATGATTTTCCCAAATCTTATTCTTATCAAATCTTATCATTTTATTTTAACCACATTTTAAGTCATGGTATAATCCCAATAACATATATTTTAGTCACATTGGATATAAATTGATGGCAAACTAATTTAATTCACCAAATTAGTAAGCTCATCATAACTAGAAATTTTTTTTAAAAAAAAAAAAATATCCAATGTAATCTAGAATTCCCCGTTCTTCAAACCTAACCACTTTTAACATCAAGACACTCAAATAGCTATTTTTTCTCAAATTTTGAAGTTCAAAAACTCAAATATTATATTTTTCATTTTCACAAAAATGAACAAAATACAACAATCTATATAGCAATATTCACCAAATGGCTTGACTAGTATACTTTTAGGGGTTTATTCCAAAAACAAATCTCTAATTTCGAAACGAGATTTTGGACAGCTATTCATCATGTTTTTTCCAAATAAATTCCAAGAACAAAATGGAAAAATAATTCAACATATTTTGCTCAAATAAAATACCTAATCATAAACATTTATGCAATACAACTTCTATCATAGTATATTTTCTCAAAATAACCCTAACATAAATTTTAAAGCAATAAAATGGAGAAAATCCCTACCTTAAATAGTGAATATGAAGAACTCCGAAAATCTCATGTTTGACGAATCAAAAATCAGAGATGGTAGTTACGTAGCTCTTGACCCGATCTATAACATTCTTTCTCAATAAATTCACAAACTCCAACTCTAAGGCACTTTGATTGAGCAAAGTAGTTACAAACCAAACTTGAAAGATATAGCCTCTATCTCTCTCTCTTTGCCGAAATCAACTGGGAAGAAGACAAGAAAGAGAAAGATGGAAAAGAAGAGTAAAGAAATGAAGAAGATAAGAAGGACAACCCACGTGGGTTTGTCCCTCATTGTTTTTCTCTTTTTCTTTTATTTGTATTTCATTTTCTATCCAACCCATTAATCAGTACAATATATATACATACATATACCTATATATATAGTGAAGTGTTTATTGTAATAACACCACAAAATTTTGTAATATAAATCATAAAATGGTATAATTTTTCTTACAACATAAATATGACTTTTTGCTCACCACAAAAATATATAATTTTCATGTTATGGTACACACCATAAATTCGTCATTCAAACATTTACTATAATTTAGTGTAAAACACAACACCACCAACTCTCGAGGTAATCCCTATCATCCACATAATGGGAATGGACCAATGAGTTACATACCTAAATCCAAATTATAATGACTACGGGTCATGGGTTTTGAATTAAATTCCCATGAATCAAACATGACCCAAATATACACCAAACTAGACCCAACAAATTTTACCTCACAGTCATGATTTTAACATCAAACTTCAGCACAAAAATTGAATTTCAAATACAAATTTCTGTTTAATGGTTAACTAATCACCGATCAATCCTTGAATTTATCAAATTAAATACTCATCCTTTCACTGTTAAATGTTTACCCAATATACTAGATTCATATGGAAACAACACATAAAAATTTCACAATTTTCTGACATAGGGAACTATCTTAAAAAAATACACAAAACCATAACATTTTCACACAAAATCTACACAACACCCAATCCAAATACCACTCGGTACAAGAATTTTATAAAATTCATCTGTAAGAGTTCTAATCTGAAATTATTACCAAGTTTACTATACTCATATATAAACCTTGCATAAAAATTTCATAAGCTTCTAAGGCTTGGTTTGGCATAATCTAAAAAAGCCAAAAAGTCAAAAAGTCACTATCCTATTTAAGTCACATCATCTTATTTAAGTCACATCACCTCTCTACCACATCACTTCAAACCCAACCCATATTTCATAAAAAGTCAAAAAGTGCACTTATTTAGTTTATCCCAAACAACCCCTAAATTGTGAAACATTTTTTTTAAAACTCATAAAAGTAAGGTCTCTAATTCAAGAGATTCAAATTTCAACCCAAACTTGTGTATAAAACTAAAAGCTTTGTTAATCATCATAAACTAATCTACAAATGATCTTTTAATATAAAAACAATCAATAACCACACGGTCCATCAAACCATTGAATCAATTAATTTATGTGATGATTTAAAAAAACAAATCTTGGATCATTACAAAAGACATTGAGGCTCAGCAGAAGTATATTTATAGGATGTTTTAATCCCATGTAGCAATATATATATATATATATATATCAGTCCATTATAGAACATTAATAAAAATCAAATGGCTGGTATTTAAAAGAAAAACAAAAGCATAATGTTAAATGAAGCGCAGGCCTTCTGCGCCTTAAGTGCAAGCCTCAAGCGCCTGCCTGCACGCCTCAAGCGCCTGCCTGCACTTCATTGAATGCGATGCACCTTGACAATACAAGGTGCCTCACCTGCGCCTAGGCAAGCCTTTTACAACAATGCCCCCACCACATCTTCCCTAACAATCCACAATAGCTTTGATAGTAAAAAATAAAATTGAACAAGTACACAACCAGGACAAATCCCAATGTGACAGCACATTCCTCCACCATAATACAAGAACAAGAACAAGGCTTTCTTCAACCTCAAAGAAACCTTTGAATCTAACATAATGCAAGAACAATGTGCAGTAGCAGAAAAATGTGCCCACATCCTTCAATCCTAAGCACACTTTGGACCTAAATGAGCAAAAGATACAACTGGAGAAGACTGCTTAATATGCTTGAAATGGAGATAGTCAATACCATATTCAGAACAGTGACGAAAACCATAATTATGACATAATAGAGGGACCCTGAAATATTTCAGTGCAACAAATTATGCATCCTAAATAACAAACACTTATACAGGTCCAAGTCATCCATCCAAGTCATATGAAATTGTTAACAACTAACAAAAAGACTCGAAATTCACCATTTACAAATACAACCACCAATTAATAAGCAACAGTTTATCGCAATTAGAAACAATCAGTTCAAACAAATACAGCACAAAATTGTATGCAAAATAAACCGACTTCAATTAGCTATAAGGTATAATTTGAAGAACAAACTATCACTTACCCGGTACCACTTTAGGAGGATCTTCATTCCCATCCTCCATGTAGAAGTACTTCTGCCTTTTATACCAAACCAAATTGGGTTGTTTTGGTGCACACAAACTGCCCCCTGGTAAATTAATGTAAAACCCAATAACATCACCTTCAACATACCCTTCGTCCCCATACTTCTCCCTCAAAGCCTTGTGTACCTTCGTCCCATCAATATCCCTATACCCATAGCTATTTCCATCGTACCCAACCGGTGCCTGCAGGTCCCCCTTCTCAGTCGACCACCCGAGTCTAGTATGCCCCGTCTCACCCAAATTCACTACCTTAATCTCAAAATACCAAGCACCATCCACAACACCTCTAGTGGCTCTAACCATTGTATAACCTTTGATACTGGCAGCAGTCAATCGATCCTCACTCAAATCAACTTTCTCAGCTTTCGAAACCTTAGATAGACAGATTTTCATATCGGGAGCATCGTCATTTTTATCAGCAAAGCGGGGAATCGGAGTGATCAACACCGTATCCTGTGTTTGGGCATTGTCATTATTGTTCTTCTTAAACTTCTTTTTACCTTTTCGTGATGTCGATTTCGTCGTCTTCTTCTTCGATTTGGTTGTCATTCTTTTGGTTTTGGGTTGTGCAGATGTAGGAATCATTGCTATATCAGGCGATGGCTCTGCATTTATTGGTAGATGTGAAAGCAGTTTCTGCTTTTTCAGAGGAGGGTTTTGGTCTTTATCCTCGGCGGAGGCAACAGCTTCTTCTTTGACGTCAATTAAGAATTTGGTTTCTGAATCACGAGTTCCAGCAGAGGTGGTGCTGGTGGTGGCGATGAAGGCGGCGCCGTCGGTGGCAGAGGTGGTGGTGGGTGGTGTCGGATCGGTGATGACAACGTTGTTGATTTCGTTGTTGTTGGATGAATAGTTGTCAACCTCCTCGTCTTTGTACGTAGCCCGAATTCCGTCCATGATGCAGAGAGTGAAGAAATAAAGGAGATATATGTAGGGGAGAGAGAGAGATTAGGGAGAGGATTTGATTAGGGTTCTTGACGGAGAAGATGAATGAATAAAAGAAGATTAGGGTTGGGACTGGGCCAGTAAACTCGAAGAGGCTTTGAACAGACTCTAGAAGTGGGCCTGGCTTGGCCTGGGGTTTCGCCTTTGGAAACGTCCCAACGTTTTAAACTAAAGTTCTGTTTTTCACATAATTAAACTCATATAATTTTTTAGAAATATTACAGTTCCATGTAAATTTTTGACTCCTTAAAATTTTGTAAATTTTTTACAAAGGATCCATCTTGAAGATTCATCATCCAAGCTTCAACATTAATTATTGGCATCTCGGAAAAAAAAGACAAAATTTGTAGAAGATAAAGCCTCTCTTCAACGATCAAAGAAAAACACGCCAAGAAACGACAAATAGCAATTGTAAATATTTATGTCTGTAATTATTTGTGTCTGTCAGTGATAAGGCTTCTCCTTCACTCACTACTTTAATAAAGCAGATGACCTCTACCCTGTTTCATTAAAGAAAAGTTATGAGAATCCTTACACGTGTCCTGTAATAAATTATAGTGTCAAAATTTTATTAAAAATGAATGATTGAATGATATGTGATGGGGCCCAAAGTAGTACCCCGCATCATTATCCAAACCCTTTACTTGTTTTTATCTACGTAAAAAGTTTGTCAAAATAGGCATATAATTGTATGCATAATCTTGTCTTTATTACTCAAAGATAGATTTTGAAAAAGGCTATGTTTAGGCTTGAATAGGTCTTAGACTTACTATGTTTGGGAATCTAGGAGAGAAAATAAAAGAAATGATTACTTAAGTAAGAAAAGAAAAGAAATGAAATGATTGTAATTTCTCTCATTTTTGTTTGGATAAAGAAGAAATAAAATAAAAGAAATGATTGTGATTTCTCTTATTCTTGTTTGGTTAGATTTCATTAAGAAAAAAGAAAAGAAAAGAAAAGAAATTATTTTATGTTATATTACCAAAATAACATTTTTATATTTTCAATCATTTTATTTCTTTTATTTTTATAGGGACAAAATTAGTATTATAAAAATAGTGATTTTTTTTCTCTCCCAATCTCTCTACTTTTGGGAAGATTGAAAATGCGGCTTATAAGAGAAATGAGTTTCTCTTCATTTCTCTCCATTTCTTCTCATTTCTCTCTACTTAAGTTATCCAAACAAATAAGAGAAATACATATCACTCCATTTCTTTTCTTTTCTTTCCAAATCACTCAATCCAAACATAGCATTAGGAAAAGTTTGGACGTAAGACATTAAAATATAGAAAATAAAAAATAGAAAATAAAAATATATTATGTTGAACGAAACTTAGCTTCAAAGTGGGAGTACATGTAATGAAAACAAACATTGCCTAAAAATAGTTTCAAAGAAAAAGAATTTTAGAATACAAGGAGAGCAACCCGAGTAGAAATATTAAGGAAATATTGTTCATAAAAGAATTTTAAAAATCAAAATTTTATGCCTTTAGAAGAAGAACTTAGGATTAAAATCAGAACTAATACTGAGCTTATGCAAGAATTAGAAGATCAAAAATTAAGATATCAATTTCTATTATCATTAGCTTCCGGTAGATCTCTAGAAAATTATAATTTGAAAATTACTCAAATAAATAGACAGATAACTATAAAGCAAGAAGCCTTACAGCTAGCTATACAACAGCTTGAAGATTTATTAGCATAACTGTAGAATTAATTCTCAGCCCAATTTCAAAATAGTGGTAAACCACTAACTCAACCCCCCAAAAATTGGTATTAGAGCAGTGTTCGGTTTTAGGATAGTTTAAGTTAGTTTATGCATTTTGCTTATGGAAATAGAGTAGTTTTTATTTTTGACAATTTAGTTATAAATTTCATATTATAGTAGCTTTTAATAATTTTAAAGTAAGATTTAATTTTGTGTATGAAAAAAGTAAAATATTTAGATTTAGAACTCAGCAATCATAACCATCGTCTTAATGTAGATAAAAATAAATTCTATTGTAATTTTGAAGGTACTTTTACACATTAGCTCCATAGTGAACATAATCCTCAGTTAAATAGTATTATAGATTATCAAATTAATTTTGCAGAAAATATTAAAAAAGACGTAGATAAAATTAGTTATCATTTTACTTCATCTATAGACTATCTTCGTAATACTCGCAGTATAATTAAAGATCAAGATAAAAAATTAGATTATATCCAAGATCAGTGTAGTTTAATCCTACAAAAACGAATAGATTTAAATTTAGAAAAATTTCCCGCTAAGCTAGAAATAGAAACTCTAGTTTCAGCTGCAAACACTAGCAGCTCAAAGCAAATAGAGTTAGAATTTAAGCAATTAATTGAAAAAACTCATAGTCAGATAAATCAAATAGCTAAACAAATAGAACAAATCAGCCAAATTCAAGATAATTTAAAACAAAAATTAGAAATTTTAGAACAACTAATAAGATCTTAGTTTATGAGTAGTGATAAAAAGGCTAACAGGGACTACCAGATTATTTTAAAACAAGCAAAAGACTTTCATAATAACCTAGAAAGAATCAGTAGCTATAAGGAAATAAATCAGTCAGATAAAATAATAGTGAGACAAAATAATATAGAAAATTTATTTTTAGTCAAATTGTGTGAAAAATTTGAAGAATTATCAGAACAACTACACAGTTTGGAAAATCGTTTAGCTTCTCTAGAAAGAATAATACTTCAAAAAGGAAAAGGAATAGAAAGACAAGTAAACAAACCCCAATCTCAGATAAACGAAGAAGATATAGCTAGGTATTTCGAAAAGCTTAAATTACCAAAGAAACCTATTTGTAGAACTTACAGAAAATAAAGATGTTTAAACAATTAGTAAAAGGAAGTAGTAGTAAAAAGTGTAATGAGGATGAAGATGTTAAAATGGAAGAATTTATGGACGTAGAACAACAGATAGAAAAATTTAAGAGGGAAAAGTTAGAGTTAATTCTAGCTAAATATGTATATAAGTTAGGAAAGATTCATAAAAAACAATATCTATTTAAACACTATGGTGAACAAATGATTACTGTAACTCATGAAGATGAAAAAATAGAGCTAAATTTAATAGATAGAGAAAGCTATAAATATGCAGTAAATGAACACCTCAAAATGACTCACTTAGGATTAGTTGTGGTAGGAATTAAGGCTTTAACTAGAGAAAATTTAGGAACTAAAGTTTTTGTATGTCTTTATGATGATAGATTTAACGATGTAGGACAAAGTATTTTAGGCATCTATGAATTAGATATGAATTCAAAAAGAGAAATAGTTTATTTTACACCAGATTTCCTACTACCAACCTCGACCTTTCATAAAAAGTTAAAAATAGGGAAAAAGAGTAGAGGATACCAAATGAAAAAATGAGAAAAGAATTTATTAGTTTGCACAGGATTTTTAGGCTTAGCAGTCTCAGAAAGCAATACTTATTATAAACTTACAAATGATCAGATAGTTAAGTTATTAGGCGCAAAGGGAATAAAGGCACTACCAAGTAAAAAATTTAATTCTGAAGATAATGCAGCACTAGATTGGAATCTAGAAGATTTTTTAGGACAAAAAAGATTAGTCCCTCGTGATAACTTATTATATCAAAAAACAGATAGAAGTTATGCAGTAAGGTTTACTCAATATACGTATGTAGCACTAGAAAAATCTGAAGATGATGAATTTAGCAGTATAGATAGGGAAGAAAACCAAGATAATCATAGTGACATAAATCAGCTTTATGTAATGACAAAAGAAAAAACAATATCACAAAATAAAATATATAATATTGATGAGATAGATTTAAAAAATTTCACCCTAGGCGATATGAATAAAATATTAGATACTAGATACTATGAATACTTAGCTAGAGGAGATACCCATGATGAAGCAGTGTCATTTTTAGACCAAGAATTTCATACTGAATATGTAGATGATATTATAAAAGATAAAATACATCCTAGTAAAATATTTAAAATACCAAAACAATCCAACGTAGAAGACTCTTTTTACATGAACACAGAAAGAACAAGAACTAGTAACCCACAACAAACGATAGAAGATCCAGTAGAACCAATGCATTATGCAGTAAGAGGAAGAAGACCATTAGCTAATTCAAGGCGTAGTAAAGCAGATCCGAATAAAAGTTATAGATTTCATGGAAAGCGTAGGCAACCAGATATGAGTATACAATTACAGCCAGCTAATAACCAAGGAATCCTTTTAGACTTAGCTAGATTCAACCATCAGATATGGCAAGAAGTAATAGAAAAATGGGAAAAAGATACGGTAAAGGCATGGATGAGTAATCCCTTTGAATCAACAGATATGTAGGAATATATCGAAACACTTTTAGGAGATTCAGCTTTTAATAAATATTTAACCTTTAAAGAAAAATATGAGGAGACAATTAGGCAGCTTAAAGGACTAGGAGATAATCCATGGAATTTTACTAGCTTTATAAAAGAAATACTTGTAGGACATGACCCTTCTAGAAGAAATGATTATACTCAAAACATAGCATTAACTGAGTTAGATTAGATAACATCAGGAAGTTGGAAATATGTTGTACCCTTTAGCAAAGAATATTTAGCCATAGCAGTCAGAACTGGAAAAAGTTTTGATGAAGAAATAGGAAATTAATATTTTAGAAAATTACCTGGAAAGGTAGGAAGAGAAATAGAAAATAAATGGTCAATTTATTATGCAAACTTACCAGCAAAAATAGTCTCAAGAGAAGTAAAAATAAGAGGAACTTTAGGAATAGGACCTAGAATAGTTTTTACATTTCATAAGCTCAGAGAAAAATGTATAGAAGTTAAAATACAGAAAGATTTGAAAAAACAAAACTATGGTTTCTGTAGCAGCGTAATATATACTCCTTAACAATATAAAGACAAATATAATAGGAAAATATGGAAAATGTAGAAAAGAAAAATATTGGAAGAAAAAATATAGAAAACCATGGAAAAAAACAAAAATTCATCAGAAAGAGTAGAACTTTTAATAGGATAAATTATAAGCGACTACCCAAAGAAGAGAAAGATAAAAGAAAACAGAGATATATTAGAAAATCCAATAGTAAAAAATGCAATTGTTTTATATGTAGAAAACCCAATCATTTTGCAAAAACCT